AGTACCAAGCCACGCTTGAAGACGACTGTGCCTGCTCCCACCAGTATGTGACCAGTGCCCGCTGCCTTCGTTGGCACCAAAACAGCCCCTCTCCAGATTTTTGGGGATAGTTGCCTAACGATGCGTGTGCTCACTGGTAAACCTGGTGTACCTGTACACGGAAGAATTCAGTACACTTGACGGCAGACTTTTCGTGGTTGGTAAGACCAGCATGATATAGCCGCGACATGCTGCCCCTGTCTTGACGTAAACGACAACGATCCCTGACTGTATAACCGCCATGGTCGATCGCGCGACGGGGTGTGCAACGCAAACAAGCTATCCGAGGCTACGTGACTCAAGCTGAATAATACGTCCGTGCTTCTTTGTTTGTACTTTACAGCGAGTGTTATTCAGACATGTACCTGAACTCGGAAATAGACTGCAACCCGAGTCCTGGATCTCGCGTGTTCTATATCTAGGGTGGTTTTTGAACTTCGCTGAAGGACCTTCTGGAATTCAGGATCCGTTGATATGATACGGAAGGATTTTGTATGATCTTAGATTTTCTGTATAATTTTTGGGAGGTGTCATTGGGTCTTTGATCCTTTTACAGTGTCACATAGAGACCTTTTAGGACCCTACATTGACGTAAAGTTTAGTTTAAAGATCTTTCAGACAGCTGAAAGGACGGTGCTATCTGCGCTAGGCCTTATAACTGTTCGTAAAATCATATGAAATCACAAAAAAACAATGCTGCCAAAACTAAAATGTACACAGACATCAACTTAGGTTACGCACGTCATTTTCACTTTATCCTGCTACGTTTTACCACTTATCTATCATCACTCACCTTGGATACTTTTTTAAGGAGGCACATTTTGGTCTCTAGGAAAAAATGTGCTATCGGCTGATTTTTTGCGCCAGAGCATCATTTTCTGGCCATAAAACACTAAATGATGCTTGAGACTAAACCAGCAATATCATCAGATACGGGGACATTTAACGAACACAGCCCAGAGGCGTGTAGGCTCCTTTTCAGTTATGGGGGGGGGGGGGAGGATTGTACCTCTATTCAGGGATGTAGTTTCCTATTGTTAGTTATAATTTTTTATCAATCATTTTTCGTTGCTCAGCTATTTCCTCTCCTGCCCCCTCCCTCACCCTTACGTATTTTGCAAAACTGCATCCCTGTAGCCGTACATTTACCGACAACATGGTTTTACAAGCTCCTGAAAACAATATCCCTCTTGGTTTTGCGACGCCATCGTACAATCACCTGGGTGCGCAGGCAATCTTCACTGTATTCGCATAATCATTACCGGTGCAGACCTTACACCCACCAACATGATCCCAGTCATTTAGAGCAAAGCCCATGCAATATTCCTACCAACAGATGCAAACGACATTTTTAAGCTCCTCTACCACCCTCATTCAGTTTCATATGCAATGTGACGAGAAAAAAAAGCGTTTTATCTTACGCGTGCCCACCGATCAGTACGCTAAACCAGAGGTGCAGCGGGCGATGTGAGAGGCCTACAAGAGTGATGCTCAGTCCTTTACCTCAAAACCACTGTCTGCTACTCTCAACAGCAGAAAGCCCCGGATGAATCTTTGACATGTGTCGCTCCAACGTCCTCCGTTTACCTCTGGAGCTACAGCTCAGGTATCCACGAATAACAACCCTCCTGGATCGGTGGGATTTGTTAGGATATTCCTTAAAAGCTGGCGATTAGCTTCGTTCTTCTGGCCAGTCAGATTCTCACGACATGAACACAACAATCCGCAGTCCACAGCCTTGCAAGGAATTCAATTCATTGCCGCGCGGCGAGCATTCAAGCCCATCCGTCTCAAATGGCACGACGCTTTAAAACTCTGCGTAGCACAATGACCTCGTTTGCCGCAAGATGTTGTGCTCAGCCACGATTCTTACGACTAGTAATACGCCTAGTTATTTAGTACTTTATGCTGTTAAGTGTGTGAATTGAATCCTGACTAAAAAATCTGTGAAAAGCATTGATCTGAGGGGCACTGGAAAAGCACTGTTTCACCACTGATAAGCCAGAAATTATCCTGCTTAATACTACTACGTTTGGCAGTTGCTTGTGGCTCAACTTGCTCATGCAGAGAAACGTCAGCGTTTTCGACATGCACTGTACGTATGCTCACGCTACAAGCGTTAGCAAGAACAGGTCAATACTAAGCTTCAAATTTCGTCTGGCTGGGATGGACTGTTGTAATATGGTCTGACCTGTTGTGATTTGTTTCCATTTTTGCAATCTTGTCACCACTTGCCTTCCAAAGCGTCAGTTTGTGTCACCGACCATTTCCGGTAAGCCAAAACCCTTTCCACCCCTGCATATAAGTATCATAAGACAACGCGATGCAAATATGGGCTGCTGGCTTTACCTTAAAATAGCCGAATTCTAAGATGGTCCACTGCTTGTGCAATAGAAGGCATGCTAAGTGTTCAATTGAATTGAAATTATCGTACAACAATAACGTACGCTCTAGCCGTTTGGTGATATAAAATAAGTTTCCTGTCATGATCCTGGCTCACAAAGTCGAAAATAAACGCATGCATACATGATACCATTTATATTTTTGGATAAGGTCCTTGAATAAGTTTGATTCAAAATGCGTCTTAATTAATAACTGCAACGTATATTATCATTGTCATGGAACATATTAATACATTTCAATATATATATATATATATATATATATATATATATATATACATATGTATATGTATATATAAAATATATTGCCTAATGAAGACAAAACTGTTTCATGACTTCTGCTGTATAATTAGATATGTCAAACGTCTGGTTTATTTTGATCACCCTTTAAATTTATTTGCCTAAACATATTGTGTCAGCCATGCCTTGCAGCATTATTGAGGTACCATGGTCAGAAGCAGGTATTTTAAAGATGGGTTTTGGTTGGTTTTGGGGACTTTGAGCCATATGCTTCTAAGCAATATTCTAACGTGCCAGTTAAGCTGGAGAGGCATTTGAGGATGGAGTTTATACTGCTTCTCATAATATACGCATATTGTGCAAGTGAAGCACACTATAATACACTGCAAGATTCGTCATTCGAGGCCAGCATTTACAATTATTTTCCAGGTTTCGAGGCTTCGAAAATCAATTAAAATCGGACTGGATGACATGATTAGCATAATCCAAACAACCAACCCAGACGAAATAAACACCACAGTTCAAAAATCGGGTACCAGTACTGCAATGGTTAAGCAGCGAGTCGGGAAACTGGAGGTACGGGGTTTCCCCGCGGTACCCTCCCTTTTAACCAGCGCGAGAGGCAGCGACGCCATTAAGCCTGAACAGCTGGGTGTGATACAAACCCCCAATGACAAAGTCAGAAAAAAGACTCCAATCATACCAACAGCTCGTCCCCAACGTCCCCCAAAACAAATTGGTAAAAGTACCTCCAAGGAGGCACAGTACAGTCACAAACACGGCGCAAACCTGACATGATCAAAGCCTCACATGATGTACTGGTGTAATGGTGGTGCCGTCGCTGTACGGCCCGGCAAATGGAAGAATGCCGACTCTTTGACATTTGTCTCAGTAAATAGAATAACCCAAATGAATAATGCGGAGCATGGAGTTTAAATCCTCCTCCTGAAAACTTGCCCGGAAGTGCGCATTCTCTTCGTTCACTGAAATGAAGGATGTGATACTAAAAAAGCGAGGCTGGCCGTCGGACTCCCACACACCCATCGGTGCCCATCCCTCGTGGGTGACTGGGTTATGCCGTAGGACTGGGACGGCTGCTACACTGCTTCCTATTGCAAATGGGTACGAGAGTGCTCGGAAACTGCATTACAAAAGGAAGCCTGTGACTGATATACGGTGGAAATGACGTAATGTAGGAAGGATTTGTAACCCATCTTATTAACAATTTAACTCAGTACGGGTACTTCACAGCCCATTGCACATTTCAGTATTGATGCGCGTGACCTCCCCCATTTCCTGATTTTCGCTGTGAGGCGTCTGGGCTGAAGGGAAGGCGTCTGGGAACTGCAAAAGGGAGGCTCAGTGACCATATTTAAGACGTCTCTCCCTCTCTCCCTCTCTCTCTCTTGCTCTCCCTCTCTCTCTCCCTCTCTCCCTCTCTCTCTCTCTCCCTCTCTATTTCTGACCGTCTCTGTCACTTCCTTTCTCGCCATTTCCCTCTCTCCCTCTTTTCCTTTTTCTCTTCACCCCTCTCATACCTCTCTCTCTTTATCTCCCTTGTTCTCACTCAGTTCGCCCGAAGCTTCCTCTCTAACTCACGTTCTATTATTCGTTCCTTCCAACCACTCTCTTCTTCCTTGGCTTAAAACTCATTCCTTTTTAAGTGTTATTTCTACTCTCTGTGGGGGCATTCCTAATAAAAAATAATGATGTCCTTAAAACTATCCTTGCATGCTCGTATCCCCCTTATCGGACCGAAAAAATGTCATCTACACATTCCTTTGATTCTCAAAGCAGCAGCCATCACAGAGCCGATCTTCAACAGAGCTGACGCCGGTCCAGACGGAACTCCCAGTCGCGCACCCATTTCTCGCAGATTGCTTTGGTGCGGCTCTCATATCCGCCAGCCGCATGACAGAATCTGCAGTGTTGACATTCCTGCACCCGGCCGATCCGGATTACTCCCCGTCCGTCGCGCACTGGCAGCAGTTCTCCTTCCCAGCCTCCTGAAGGTTTTCGGACAGTTCTTCTGTTAACCTCACTGCTACGTTTGTCCTTATGCCGTCCTTCGCCAGACAGCATTCATTCGTCCTCATTAACCATGACAGTCTCCCTTGCTCCTCCCAGCCCTCCGTCGAGTCCTCCCCTACCCGGTCCCATCCTCAGTTCCCCACCCAAAGTCCGTCCCACCCTTCATTCCCCTCACCCCCCCCCCCCCTCAACCCTTTCCCGCGTGTCATATCGGCCGCAGCCGTCGTCACGTGCGCCGCTGCCGTTCCCGTGACGCTCGTGGCGGCCGGTGACGCGCGCGGTACTCACGGGCGCGGCGTCGACATGGTGCGGGAGGGCAGCTCACTGGCGGCCGGCAGCAGCGCCGTGCCGCACAGCCAGACGAGGACGGCGCCGGTACGCGCCATGCGGCCGCTCAGCGCTGCGCGGCCATCGGAAGCCGCGCCGGCCGCCGCTCGCGCCGGCCGCCCGACACCGATTGGCGGAGACGGTCGATACGGCGCCGGCCGCCGGCCGAGAGCGGCGGCGCCGGCTGCGCAGAAATCCTGATCAATGCCGGCGTGAAATTCGGCCCGAGATGTTGTCTCGCCGCCGCCGCCGCCGCCGCCGTCTCTGCCGGAGTCGGCAGGTGCCCGCCCGCGCTGCTCGGCCGGACCCCGTGTCGGGCGGGTGGGGTCGCTGGGGCTAGGTCGGAAAGGTGCGGCGGGTGGGAAGCAGACTCAGACAACCGTTTGTTTGGGGATACAGCTGTGCTGGTGTGGCTGTAAGTCACTACCACGTATGCACCTTTCCGGCGGATTATTGCACCGGACGTCCCGGCATTCACTGAGCCCAGGCAACAGCCCGACGCTGAGGTGACTTCTGCACTGGCGGAAAAGCTCCAACGCAAGCGTGGTTTGACCATCCGCATCTCTTGCGGTGCCGGCTGGCCGCCGCTCACCAACGACCTACCATGACGAGGTCAAGGCAGAGCGACACAGGCAGCGACGGAGGAAGTAGCTATTCGGGTCATTCACTCCCTGTTTTGTCGGTTGCTGGGTCTATCTCACTTACAGACATGCATTCTCTCCTCCTCTCTCTTCCTTGCTCTCCTCCCCTTTCCTTTTGCTTTCTTGTCCTCTCCCCTCTCACAATTTTTATGTCTCCTTCCTACTTCCTTCTCACTTCATCTCTGTCTCTGTTTCTGTCTCTGTCTCTGTCTCTGTCTCTTTCTGTCTCTCTCTCTCCGTCTCTCGCTCTCTTTCTCGCTTTTTTCTCTCTCTCCCTCTCCATTTCCGCCTCTATCACTCCCTCTCCTCCCTCCCTCCTCCTCCCTCCCTCTCTCTCTCCCTCTCTTTCTCTCTCTCTCTCTCTCTCTCTCTGTCTCTCTCTCTCCCTCTATCCTCTCTTTCCTCAGGGGTGCACCTCGTTTCATGTCCGGCTCATACTTAAAGTCGGGGATTGGGTTGGAGGTCCCACTAACTGTAAGAAACAAGGGACCAAAGCGGGGATAAAACACTTTCTTTATTTTGAGGGTCAGTATAGCCATTTTCTCATGTTCATCCACAACTTATTCGGCGAAACTACACCCCAGATTCTCCCCATTTGTTGATTTTCCCCTCTTTCCTCTTCCTTTCCATCAATCTATTTGGCTCTGCCCTGTCTTTCGCTACTGTCTTTCGCTGTTCCCTCTCCCTGTCGCTCCCTTCGTTGGCTTATTATTTGCTCTTTTCTTTATTTTCTCTCTCATGTCTATTTAAGGCTCCTGTCCAGCAAATTTATTATGTCTGTCTGTTTGTCTACCCTTCTATTTTTTCCATGTTTTGTGTTTGCTATACTGCCCATCTATGCCGACTAATGGTTAGCCTCTCTGAATGCTTTAAAACAAAATTGATAAGACCATATATGCGTTTATGACACCTTGATTTCACGCACGAAAAAATAGGTCTGCAAGTCGCTATGGGGGGTTTGCAAAGAGCTATGGTACACACACGAATTATGCGAATGCACAGAAATTTAAAACGCTTTGGCGTATAGGCATGCCATCTGATGCTAATGTGATTAGTATTTCATGTGCTTTTTAGTGGCTATGATGTTTCTTTAGCGGGGGTCCGTTTGTGTTACTAGACTTGGTCAGATCACGCTTGTATCTGACTTATACTACGTCATTAAGAATGCTTTTTGTATCTCATTTGTAGCAATAGAGATAGGCGGGAAATGAAAAAGGCGGCTCTAACTTTGGCATTGGCATTATCTAGTCCCGTCCAATACGCTGGCGTTCAAGCTATGCTCGGAAATCCAGAATTACGCTTCATTGTCAGCAGCACTCCTTAGATTTCCGCATTACCACAGTAGGGCTGAGAGACGGTGCAAATCTCAAGCTTGCAGGTTTGCGTAAACAAAATAAGAGGCGAGTAGTTATCAAGCAATCGTACATGATATATTGCGATAACACCAAGTGTCTCAAGTACCAATCGAGGCTGCGCTCGTTATCACAAGCTTGCATACTTGCAAAAATGGAAAACCTGAATCCTACCTGGTGTGTGGAAGATGGCAGATGCTTTGATTTCCGGCTAACCCCGCCAGCAAAATATGACAATGATAATCATATCAGCCCCGAGCCTCTAATCCTCGTAACACTGCCCTTTTCTAAGCACTGCTCCAGACGCGGACGGCCAGGCCAAAAGGTCCTGATGTGTGCCGAGTGCAAGGTTAGAAATACGCTCAATATGAACGGTAGTGTGGTCATTCAGGATTCCACATAGTAACACCTGATGTATAGCACCATGCTGCAAGCTATCGAAACACAAACGCAAACGGCTAACCCGAAAGGATTTTATGAACAGATCAGACTATTAGGTTAGAAACTCGCAACAGGACGCTGGTGTTCGAGGCAACGGCCAGCGTACCATTTCTAAGCATACCTTACCTGAATAAACCACTCTAATCACGTCCGAAGAACCACACTCTTGACGAATCACGCCCAGAAACAGCTTAAATCATGTTCAGAAGCCCTCGCGGTGGCGGAAGCTGCACCGGCATACACGCAAATGCCCCCCGGATATTATTAACAACTGCCTAGGTTTGGCACCTCTTTTATTTCACCCCGGGTCCCCATTATGCCATTGCATTTCCCTACGTAATTGCATGTTCAGACGTATATTGGGATTAGCGGTCGTTTTCGAAGTTTTGAAAGACTGCCTGGCTTCCGCGTGACAGCAGCATAAAGGAACGGCGGAGCGGAAGCAACGCGTCTGATTGGTGGATTGCGAGTTCCACGCACTGAGCACATTGAAACGTTTCACTCATGAAACGTTGCGTCTAAAGGTGATGTTGAAGCAGTCAAAACCTGCGCTTGAACTCCTTCAAATGTCGTGTAACTACACACTGTTAACAAACTTGCAATGCTCGAAACTTGCAGGCACGACCTGCGCTTCAATTTGGGCACGGCTTGCCCAAAGCGAGCAATAGACCATACCGCTCCAAGCCTTGTCTGAAGAAGGTTCTCAACAACTCTTCGAAATTTTCGGGATTTTTTTAGATGAAAAGATAATCTATTAAAGACAGCAAAGCACTTGCCACTTATGAAGGAAACATTTAGAATTCCAGACACACCGTTGTCATTTGAATCAACGTCAATGTGCTTAAAACCATTGAGGTAGGCAGGTGATAGCGCCTAAAGATGTTGCGTCAGTGATCTGGATAAAGCGAAAACAGAATTGGAACAAGCCACATCAGTAGTATCCAATGGCGAACAAAGCTGAGGTACATCGTATCCAATATGCGCAAGCATAAATGACTAGCTGGTGTTTTTTGGCGTAGGTATCATAATGCATTAATACAATGTGCAAGTGCATATATATATATATATATATATATATATATATATATATATATATATATATATATACATAAAGTAGTAAAAGCTGGATGACAAGGAGAGCCGCAACTATCACTTATGTAATTCGTCACTGTTTCGGTACATTCGATACATGCAGCCAGTATCAGCTTCCCAATACAAATTTTGTCTCCGCAGCCATTTATGAATATTGTTGTGCGTCGTGTGGAGCATCTTACGTGGGCTCAATCCTCTGTAATTTGCACTGCAGAGTGCAACAATATTTGGGAAGGTCTGACCGTACATGTAGCATTATATCTTCCACAGACCGTTCGCCCATCCGAGACCATTCGTTTGCGCGTGACGCTCATTTTAAACTGAAAACTTTTCCACATTAGGGCGTTGCAGCAATTCTCTTGATTTTCGGGTTTTAGAGTTACTTTATATTCACAAAAAACTGAACAGCTTGGCGCCTGTATATCTTTGCAGCCTGTAGGGTAGCCTTTTCATACGGGCCAAGAAGATATTTCGTCGCGTGATTCCTGCATTTTGCAAGCTGTTCTGTTTATGCACAAATGGCCGTGTTGAATTGCGTTAACTCTGATCGTTGCAATGTCTGGCGATATTGATTAAATGTATATAATATATATATATATATATATATATATATATATATATATATCTTATGTGTGTGTGTGTGTGTGTGTGTGTGTATGTGTGTGTGTGTGTGTGTGTGTGTGTGTGTGTGTGTGTGTGTGTGTGTGTGTGTGTGTGTGTGTGGTGTGGTGTGTGTGTGTGTGTGTGTGTGTGTGTGTGTGTGTGTGTGTGTGTGTGTGTGTGTGTGTGTGTGTGTGTGTGTGTGTGTGTGTGTGTGTGTGTGTGTGTGTGTGTGTGTGTGTGTGTGTGTGTGTGTGTGTGTGTGTGTGTGTGTGTGTGTGTGTGTGTGTGTGTGTGTGTTGTGTGTGTGTGTGTGGTGTGGTGTGTGTGTGTGTGTGTGTGTGTGTGGTGTGTGTGTGTGTGTGTGTGTGTGTGTGTGTGTGTGTGTGTGTGTGTGTGGTGTGTGTGTGTGTGGTGTGTGTGTGTGTGGTGTGTGTGTGTGTGTGTGTGTGTGTGTGGTGTGTGTGTGTGTGTGTGTGTGTGTGTGTGTGTGTGTGTGTGTGGGTGTGTGTGTGTGTGTGTGTGTGTGTGTGTGGTGTGGGGTGTGTGTGTGTGTGTGTGTGTGTGTGTGTGTGTGTGTGTGTGTGTGGTGTGTGTGTGTGGTGTGTGTGGGTGTGTGTGTGTGTGTGTGTGTGTGTGTGTGTGTGTGTGTGTGGTGTGTGTGGTGTGGGTGTGTGTGTGTGTGTGTGTGTGTGTGTGTGTGTGTGTGTGTGTGTGTGTGTGGTGTGTGTGTGTGTGTGTGTGTGTGTGTGTAGCATTATAAACAGTTGGACCAGAATAATTGCAATAAGCAATTTTTAATATGGAGGTGCACGACAGAAACCAGTGTTTACTAGTGCGTTACACAACATACCTTGATTGGGGTTCA